GGATTATGATCACGATGCCGTGGAAGATCATGTCTGGCAACAGAAATCCATGACTGAATTTATTTTGGACTTTGAAAGGGAGGGAATTCCAAGCATGGAGGACCTCCTTGTGTGAATCCCCAGGCTGGAAGGCACACAAGTTGCAGGAGAGGTTTGAAGGCGGCTTGGAATGCCTGGGGCCATGCCTGGGACTCACCATGGGACAGCAGTTCCCTGGGATGAAGAGCCTGCTCTGCCTGTGGCACAGCTCAAGTCTTTGGGGGCAAGGGGCTGTTTTGCTTCGGGAAGCAGGAGACGTGGAGCTGGACAGTGCCATCCCAGCAGGGATGACCTTCTCCAGGTGCAGGCAGACCTCAGTGCCAGTCCCACAGGGAAGTGTGGCACAGCAGTGGTGCACATGTAACCTCTAGCACTCCTCCTGACAGCGATGGCTCTACCCTCAGAAGTGTGCCTGGGGGTAGGAATGCGCTCTCCTCGCTTGTTGGGAGATCTCATAATGGAGACATCGCCGTTCTTCTAAGCTGAGATTGAGAGCTCCAACAATGACACCCAGTCTATGGACTTCCAGGGTTGAAAACTTGGGAATGAGATACCCTACAGAGCCAAATCCTGGATGGCTTTCATACACGGTTGTCTAAATGTCAGGCCTGTGGAGCAGATAACGTATGGAATGAGCTGAGGAGGGGTGAGCCCCAGAACTGACCGCCTCCTGTGCATGTGATGCCGAGCAGGGGACAGCCCACCCGTGGGGGTGCAAGCCTCAGACTGCAGACACTGCTGTGCATGGGTTCTGCTGCCTTGAGTGACGAGCTGGTGATTCCCGATGCCCCCACCCCAACAGTGGCTCCAGATGAGTGCAGGAATGCTACAAAGTTGGTTGGTCTTCGTCCACACATTCTGATCTGCTGATGAGATCGTGGCCAAAGACTAAGAGTGTGTCCTGCACTGGCACACCCAGGGCTGATTGTGGAGGAGCTGGGAGCAGGACAGAGGTGTCTCCCGTGGCATGGAGGGCGTGGGAGCAAAGGAATGTTTCAAGTGAAAACACCAAGCAATGCAGGCTGTATTCCAGCGTGCTCGGAGCGTTTATGTTCGAAATGGAGCATGGATGTCCCTGTGGATTATTGACTAAACAGCAGACAAAGCATGTCTGGGGCACTCTGCGGTCAGCCACCGGCAGCAGGATTGTGTCCTGGGCACCGACCCTCCTGCGTTGGAGGGCAAGAGTAACACATGCCCTTTGTTCAGCTCTGGATGCAGCTCCCAGTGTGGATCCTGAATAAACTGCTAGATCTTCAGAGCAGAGGAGGGGATGCCAATGCTCTCACTACCTGGGAGTATAAATCCCACCTTATACCATTCAAGAAGCCTTTGTGTGCCGGAGCAGAGAGATTGGATTTCTGCACCACTACCTCATGGCAAGGCTCTTGCTTTCATATGCGTTTCCCAGGTCTAATGGCAATAAAACTGGACAGGGCTACTCCCAGAGTCTGAACAGGAAACCTGTATACTTTCACTCTAGGTACAGAGCCTTCACTCAGCCTTCTGGTCCTGTGATGCACAGATGACAGAGTGTGAATGACAAAGCTATTTCCCCGGGGCACTTCGTTGAGCTCAGTTTGTGAATCTTGGTGCTTGAAAGCAGTGAGTAAGAATTACACTGTTCTTTGCTGCTGCATATGGGCCCCACCATCACTCCAGACTGGGGCTAATCTGTTAGGAGCTGCTCTCATGCATTTGCAGGATGGAAGCATGAATCCTACTGCTGTTCTCCACACCCATCTGTGCATCCTCCCTCTTTGTAAGTCTCCTGCAGCATGGACCTGCCGCTGCTGGGACATGAGAGAGCAGATCACAGTAGCCATGCCCCAAAGCATACATAGCAGTTCAGTAAATTCCCAGGGGAGCTGGGAATTTACATCCTACCAAATGGCTAGGAGCAGAGCCTGCTGCACTCCTGCTCAGATCAGGGAGCTCGGAATAAACCCTGAATGTGACACCCTGGGCTCTGGAGTTCACATACTACTGTGCCCCAGGAAAGCCCTAGGATTCGCTTACTCCTTCTCTGTGTTCCTTGTATACCTTAGTGCCATAGATAAATCCTATCCAAATAAAAAAAAGCATCACAGGAATAAAAGAACCAAGGTGCCAGCCGTGTGCTGTAGCTCCCTCGCATCAAGTGCAATCTGTAACCTTCTGTTACAAAATGCTGAAGTTTGACAAATTCAAATGAGGAACAATACTATTAATAAAGAGGGTCACACTCCAGCACAATTCACCTAGGCAGGTGGTGTATTCCTTACTGCCTGCAGCCTTTGCCTGGCTGTATTCCTAAAAGAGATGCTACAGTTCAATCAGAAGTTATGGGCTTGGCGCAGGAAATTAAATTGGTGAAATTCTCTGGCCTGTGCTCTGCTGTAGGTCAGTCTCGATGATCAAAATGGTCCCTCTGGCCTTAAAATCTGAGAATCTCACAGCTTTCTCAACGCCTAGCCGAGATCAGCTCTGACTGGAGAGCAGTTGGATGAAGCCAAGCGCACACAAGCCGCGTTAGTGAGGAGCGGGTAGAGGCTCTTTCCATCCGGGGATGGGAAAAGAGTTGCACCCGATTCTGTCTGGCTCAGCTGGCAGATGATGATCTATCTGTATTTTTGTAACATCTAGAGCTTGACTGCTGTGATACTGTGCCTCTAGGAATGAAGCTGTCTGCTCTCAGAGCACTCCAGCTAGTTCAGAATGCAGCAGTCTGTTTGCTCGGCGACTCGAGCTGCCGGGAATGCATCACCGTGCCCCTCTGCACCCCACATCGCCTGGCCTTCCAGCACAGAGTCCGGTTCAAGGTCTCCAAACCAGCATTCAAAGCCCAGCATGGGACAGGCCCCAGTGACCTAAGCAATCAATCACCTCTCCTTATGCAGCGATGACCTCACATGACGGATATATTCCACTGGAACAATGAAATTGCCAACCAGTTTGGGGAGAGGGGGAAGGGATGGAAGAAGGGTAAAGAGGCTCATGACCCTGAAAAATGGAACATTCACAAGAGCTGGGCCAAGATTATGAAACTTACTGCTGGCTGAAATAACGCTCACCATTAGCAACCCCGCAGCACCGAGAGCTTCATGCAAATCCTTGCTTCGCCCAGCTCCCCCACTGCAACGATTCCACTCAAAATAGTGAAGAAAAAATCAAAACAAACCTGAGGAGGACCCAGCCCTCCTTACAGAGAAGGAATGCTAGGTTGGCTGTCATTTTTTAATCTACCAGCCAGCACTAAGGGCTGTGGTGACAGCTACTGATACGAGACTGTGATCTGGGACCACGGAACCTAGCAGCTCTCTCCAAGCACTGAGCAGAGCGAGTTCAGGCACTGGCAGCGAGACACCCCCCACACTGCGTGATGCCCTGGGCATCACCACCCCTGTATTTTTCTCAGTGGCCATGAACACCCCGGAGTTCATGGTCCAGGAGGCAGAGATGCAGTCATTACTGATGTGGCAGCAGGAAGCACGAACCCCGGTGTTGGTGAAAAGAGGTTATGTATATGCCCTGCTGTATTTGGCTGGGTGGGGACAGAGAAGGGGAGGAATCCCACAGCAGATGACCCAAGGAGACAATTCTGCTGCACTCAGAGGAGTTTTGGCAGCTGGGACTGTGAATCCGAATGCTGGTGCCCTGGGGTGGAGGTGCCAAGCCCATCCAGGGAAAGAGTTCCCGCTGTGTGTGGGGCTGGGGGCAGCACCTCCTAGAGCTGGCTGAATTTGGAGGCTGGCAACTGGAATGCAGTGGCTCACATCAGGCTGCTCTACCTGGCGTCTGAGGCTGAGAGGGTTGGTGGCAGCACCCGGGAGGATCCAGCAGGATCCCGGGGGGGCTGACACTGCTCGCCCTGAGTCAGTGCAGGTCCTGCAGCGTTCAGTGACTTGCCGGTAGGAATTCCGTGCCAGGCTGCCAGGGTGAGCACTTAGAGGCTGGGTATGACGATCCTAGGCTGGGGCAGAATGCAGGGCTGGAAGGGTGATGCTGCATTTGGATGTTTTCATAGCAAGGGAATGGGCGTGTGAAGCCCATCAATGGTCCTCTGAGCTTAAGTCTCCCTGCATTTGGGAACTGTGAGTGTGGCCCCATTCCAAGCAGCACTCTAGGATGCCGGTCCCCTGCCATCTAGTGCCTGCCTGCAATACATGTCATGAGTCTGACAATCTTCTGCCTCCCAGTTTCCTACTGTTCCCGGGCATCCAAGTGCTCCAAGTGCTGAGTCTCCACATCTGAATCGCTCTCTCTTGCATGGTGCACCCTTGGCCAGGCAGGAGGTGAGATTGACCCCTCCGTTTCCTTTCTCCAGCTGCGCCAATTTGGCTGAAGTCGCCTTCCTCAGCGCAGGCTCCAGTGCTCCAGCACAACAGGTCTGTGATGGAGCCCGGAGCTGGAGGGTAAGAGGCAGCGATCCCTCGGCTGTGCCCCCTCCCTCCCGGCACCTCAGGCATCCCCTGGCCCCGACTAAAAGAGGAGGAAAAGGAAGGGGGAGGAAGGAGACAGCCGGCTGGAAGGAGACAGAGCACCTAGATGGGGAAAGGGAAAAGAAAAAGGGGGAGAAAGGACACGGGGAAGGAGACGGGGAGAGATGACTTGGAGACGGGCATGCAGCCCCCCTCCCCGCTGCAGCCCCTGCAGCCCCGTCCCCACTGTGTCCCCCAAGCCCGGGCCGAGAGGATGAACTTACCTTGCGGGGAGACGAGCGGGGCGCAGCCGGGGCGGCGGAGCACAGGGCTGGGGGAGCACAGCTGCTGCTGCCCGTGCTTCTCATGGCCAGGACGAAGGAAGGAGAGGAGGAGGAGGAGGAGGAGGAAGAGGAGGAGGAAGGTTTGCTGAGGCTGAGCCTTGGCTGAGGGAGAGGGAGCGAGAGATGCCTTGAAATAAACAGCTGCCGAGGACTGGTCCAGCCCCTCTTTCTCTCTCTCCGTCTCTGTCTCTCTCGCTCGCTGCCTCCCGTTAACCCCATGGCTGCTGGCACGGGCGCGCCCGGCGCCGTGGCCCCGCTGCAGCCCGCGGGGGGCGGCCGGGCGGGGCGGGGGCACGGCTCGGCTCCGCTCCGCTCCCCCGGCTCGTCGGTTATTTCGGGATCTTCACAGGAAGCGATTAGGTTGCCATGGAGAGAGGTGTCTCCAAGGGACCCGTCGCTCCAGCTCGCTCCGGCGAATGCCACCCCCGGACCGGTCCGTCCTTGGGGGCGGAGGCCCCCCGGGATCCCCCTCCCCCGGGCCGCCCCCCGGGGCTCATCCCCGCCGCCCCTCGCCTTTCCGCCCCGCGGCAGTGCCCTCGGGGAGATGCCAGCCCTCGGTCCTGCCCCCCGTCCCCCGTCCCCGCATCCATCATCCCCGGGCTTCGGGCCCCCGGGCCCCGTGGCCGCCGCGGGACCGGGCGGGGGGCGGCGGACGGACGGACGGGCGGCCCCGGCGGGGCAGGCGGCGCGGCTCGGTCGAGCCTCACGGGCAGAGCCCCTGGGACACACGGGGGAGGTAGGAGCGATGGGGAAGGGGGGGAGGAGGGGGATCCTTCCAAGGTGTGTTTTACCCGCTGAGGGATCACCCAGGTCTTTTGAGCGCGTCCCCAAGCGCGTTTCTGCCAGGGATCGATGGGATGCGTCTGGAAATGGTAGGGATGTGACAGCAAAATCAAAGGAAGAAGCTGATGTGCCTTTGAGGGGCCGAGTGTTTCACAGGGAACATCTCCCTCCACCATCAAGAACCAAACAGAAAGCACAGACCAAATCAGAAGGGAGCAGCTGAGCAACCAACGGGCGAGAGAAGAAAGTCAATGACAGAGAGACAGTTTCCACTCCAGGGCCTGAAATATGAGGAAGCAAGACAGTAATTTCCTCAGATCCTCAAAAACAATCAAACTTTTCATCATAAAGCGATGAGGAAAGACTGTGACTGACCCTGGGAAAAAAAAATACCAGAAAGAAATAATAGAGACAGCACTGAGCTGTAAAGCAACCTGCCACTGCATGAGGGATGGAAGCAGGTGACAAATGGACACAAAGTACCGAGCCTGAGCACGGCAGGATGGCCAGAACAGGTTGTGCCAACTTTGGACAGATATCTGAAGGGTGTGAGTCTGTTCTTCACTAAGCTTCCTGTGAGCTCCTGTGCCAATGAACCAGGCTGCTCCGAGCTTTCCCATGCCAGGATGTTTGAGTCTTGTGTGTGAATTTGTGAGCATGCTTAGGAGAGTCAACAGGTTTTTCACATGTTTGGGAGTGATGTCGGTGTGTGTTTGGAGGATCAGCACAGGGACGGGGTTGTGTTAAGGCTTATTGTCACCGGGAGGTCGTGGCGTGGGAGGAGGGCACTGTCACGGCCCAGGTTTGTGTCAGATGCTGCAGCCCTGTGTGCCACCAGGCAGGCACACGCCAAACCCCCAGGCTTTTGTCCCTTTCATGTACATGGGGCTTTCTGTCAGAGATTAGCCAGGCTCCTGTCACACTCCAGCCTTCTCATCTCCAGCTCTCACAGGACTTGTTCAAATCATCTGCGCAAAGCCTGGAGAGTGATCCCTCACTCTCTCATGCCAAGAAACCCCCTGCGCAGACATGGTGGAGCAGCACAAGCCAGCGTTCAGCTTGTCTCCTTCTCCGTGCTTCTTTCCCTGCTTCCTCACCTGGAAGTAGCAGAGGGTAGAAAGCTCTGGAAGGGGCTACATCAGGCACACAGGCTCTCTCTGACCTTTTCAAATCCTGACGAATGTGTTTAGTATAATTGGGAAGCACAAAACAGAGGAGAAATTTCAACCAGGGAAAGGTCAGCTAAAGGGTGAAAATCCAAATGACGCAAACACTGAAAATCCCCCTGAAGAGTAAAACTACAGAAGGCAGCAAAAGGAGTCAGAAATATGAGAGAGGACAAAGAGCAGGATTTTGTAGGGACCAAGGAAACCTTGGTAGATATGGTGGGGGGAGTCAGGAAAGCTGTCGAGATGATGGGAACAGAGAGCTCAAGGGCTGATGTCACTTGTACCTCACTCTTACGTGATAGAAATTGAATGGCTTGTTTGGTTCCCTTTTCAAAGGAAAGCTAATGTAAAATTACATGGAAATTTGAGGGGAGAGATGGAATCAGGTGTTACTGGCTGTTATTTCTGTCTGGCAGTGATCACGTACAGATCATTTACACCCAGGAGTCCTGAGCCCGGGCAGGCCACTGCTGCTGGTTTTACTGTTGTTTCCTAAGGGAAGAGAGACCCATGTTGTTGCCTTGCTACCTGCAGAATCCTGTCGGTCTGTCTGTCTGTTAGTTGCCATGGATTTGACAAAATGACGAGATTCTAAAAGGTAAATAAGCTCCAACAAATTGTATGAAAAACAGCAGCCTGACAGAGGAAAGAGATGCTTCCAATGCCTGTGCTGGAACACAGCCTGTAGCCATGCTGCTGGGCAGAGCCCCACAGGTCAGAGCAGTCCATCCAGCAGGCCAAAAGATTAAGCAGAAAATGTTGGGAAAGCTGTGTTATTTTAGAAATGTAACAAAGAGCTCTGATCTATGTAAAAAAAAAGTGATGTAATGTTAGAGAGTGGTGGGGGAGCCCCCTGATGTAGACTGTAGAAGAAATTGCCCCTCACAGACGTGGCAAGCTGTGGAAGAGGTGCCATCAAGAGACCCCGGCTGAAGGTATGGTAGTGGAAAGTACAGAACATACAGGAAAAAGTCCACAGAGAACCCAGTTTCCTCTGCCCTACTGCTCACCAAACAAATGGTTAATAAGCTTTGGAATATCACAGACATCCCAGAAGACTGGAAGAGAACTGTGCCCTGTGAATATTTGTAAAGAGCAAACAGAAGACCTGAAAAATTCTAGGCAAAGCAACAAAGAGCTGATATGAGATTCTCCAGTTAATGCCAATCAGCCTGGCTTGGAGGAAACTAATCTTGCTGCATAAACTTGTTTTGTTCTTGTCAGTCTTTGATGTGACTACAGGTTTGTTTGGGAAAGGTGATGGCTTAGATCTATCCAGGCTTCTGGAAGTGTTAATTTCCCAAAGCACGCTGATAAGAAAAAAAAAGTGTTATGCAACATTAACAGAGCAGGAGGTTAAGTGAGCTGGTTAACTCCATTTAACGCCCTGTAAACACAAAGGAGGTCATCCCTGGAAGCCCACCATTGAGTGGCAGTGTTTCTCATGTGGATGCCCAGGAAGGAGTCCCGGGTCAGGTATGACTCACCATTTTATTCAGTGCTTGGTGAGCAGATATAGTTCATTCTGACACAATTTACTGAGGGCACAAATATTGTTAGAGTGTTAAAAATAATGAGGATAGGACCAGGACAGAGTGACCTGCCCCTTTCAGTAAGGTGGCCATTCTCATAAAATTTCTTATAAGACTGTTGAGAGCAAATTGTACAGCCACGAAAAGGAAAAAAATGCTCATGTCTACAGGGAACAACTTCCAGTCCTGAGAAGAGGTGCTCCAAAAAAGATGTGGGGGTTGTAAGAAGCAGAAAACTGAAGACAGGATCCGTGGTCCAGGCTGCAGCAATGAGTCTGAAGTGATTCCTGTCTTTGTAAGGACAGAAGTAAGGATGGCAAGTGAGGAGACGATTAAACCTCTCTGTGTGTCTGAGTAAGTCTCATGCTGGAAAACTGTACAGTGCTTTATGCTCCATATTTTAAAAATAACTTTGAATCAAAGGTGATCTGAAGGCTGGAGATCTCAGTAATTTAAAGAGGTCAACCTGTTTAATATATCAAAAAGCAGAACGAGACATGACTTGCTTGCAGTATCACTCCTTTCCTGGAGAAAAGTCTACCAAATATTCTGGCAGAGAATAACAAGAGCCAGTCACTGGAGAGTGATTAATCACAGAAACAAACTACCCAGTGAAGTGCAGGATCCTCTCTCTTCTGGAGTCTTTGAATCACAACCGGAGGCCTGTCTGGAAGACAGTTCCTGGTCTGCAGAATCCTGAGGGCTGTGAGAGCAGATCAGAGGAAGAATTACCATGCAGTTACCCTCAAGCAGCTGGTACTGGGCTGATTTGAAGTGCAACCCCCGTGTGCATTAGCCCAGTACAAGCTAAAGGGTTAAAAGCCTTCTGTATCATGTTGGTATCCAAGAGAGTCATGCAGCCTCCCTTGTCCTTACAGTGTTTTTGTCTCAGAGTCCGTGTTACACACAGTTGTGAAAAATCGTCTCATGAGATGTGACTCTGCTATGTTTGGAGAGGGACTGGTGAAAAAAATGTCCTCAGTGTTTTGACAAGTTATTTGGATTCTGCGGTGGTGAAGAAGGGAACAACCTAGAATGAGCCCAGCTCTACAGCTTTAAAGTGGGACAGTGAGCAGAGAGGAAAGGAAGTGGATCTATAGCACAAAGAGAATGGAGGTTTCTTTCTGTAAAGATCAGAGCGAGATCAGAAGAGAGGGATGATGCTAGGGGGTGGTTACAGCTAGGATCAGAAATCCCAAACATTCAGAAATAACAACACAGAACGTCTCCGTGTCACAAGATTTATCTTAAAATTATGAAATGTCGTACAGACTTGCTTTCATCTGCACTCTTCGCCTCCTACTTTCGGCTCTTTTGGTTACATGAAAATCACATTTCACAGTTTCCCTGTGACCATAAAGATAGGTGTTTGCTTTGTGAGGAAAGCAAAAGCACAGAAGTTACTGACTCCGGGAGGCTGGGATTTAATTTCAACACCCAGCACTCCAATCTAGGGATGAGGCCAAAGTTTTGCTAAGTTGTGGAGATGTTACCCATGACTTTTGCACTCATGAAGACAATGACCTTCTCATCTGGAGAGCACAGGATCTGAATCATGGAAAGGACCTTCTGGTCTTTGCCCTTGATGCAGGATAAAAAAGGAGCAGACAAAAACATGGGGACCCAGCACACAGGACACAGGAGCTGGGACCAAAGTGGAGAAGGAGCCAGAGGGAGCATCATGTAGCTAGGATGCTCAGGCTGCCAGGCTTTATCTAACTAATAATGAAAGGCAGCAAGCGTGTCAGAGAGTGTGAGAGAAACAGATCGATAGAGAGATAAAACTGAGATGGAAGGAGCCGGCAAGGGGGTGGGGAAGAGAGTAATAAAACACTACAAATCAGCAGGGTTACGTTTGAACCTGATTTGAATGCACCCTGCACTGGTGTAAGTGAAGACAGCAGGTGTGAGGCTACGGTGAATCAGGCCTAAATACAGAAACAGGGAGGGAAGAGCAGGGAGGAGATGGTGCCCTTGTCAATATTGCCCTGTAATCTGCCTTCACAGCTCTCAGCCAACATTACCTGCCCTGCCTCTCCTTTCATCCTGCTGTATGGAGAAGCCCAAATATTGCTGGCTCTGAGAATACACACTGACAGACTTTCCTGCTTCCCTGGGTCATCATGATCTTCCTGAAGAAATGCCTGTTGGATGAAATGTGTCTTGGTCCCATTTTACCCGACTTGAGTGTAGGAAATGCTCCTCACTGCTCCGTTCATTGAGGACCCAGGGTAGCTTCCAGCAATGCCCTGAGCCACTGGGTGTGAGGCACTTTCCTAGGAGAGCTCATGGACTGTGCCCTCGCTCAGTTACCAATGGAGGATGAACAGAGAAGTTTCTTTGCTCAGCTTCAGATTTTTGAGGCAAAGGAGACTGTGACATCTCAAAGCTAAGATGGTCAGAGCACATAAATGAAAATGTGCCCTACAAGAGCAGGACTGAGGGTTTGGGTGCCCTCCCCTCTCAGGGCACGTGTTTGTTTCTCTGGCACTCAGAGAAACACTCTGACCTCTTTTGGTCCTTATACCTGGAATTAGTTGTAAGTGATGTCCACCTAATCTTCGTGGCACGATCATTAGTGTTAGAAGTTCAGTTTTTCACACTGACCATCGCTGTCCACACTGTTCCGTCCTTCTGTCAGCAGCCTCAGTGGGGAGACCAAAACTAAAGGAGCCTTAGGGACTGAAGAGGATGACCCTGAGCTGTACAAATGAGCTTGAGAGACAACAATCCAACCCCTCAAGGCGGCCATGGGTTATGTTTTCTAGCTCTGAAATTGTGTTTGGAGCAGAACTGTACCCCAAAGGAGCCTTCCCCGTGACTCAGCCACAGCAGCTGTGTGACAAGAACTGGAGTCAAAGCAAGAGAAGAGAGTTGTTGATACTGGCAAGTAAAACCTTAACAACTGTAGACTTTACCCAGATGAAGATTTCAAGATGTTACACTTATTTCAAGATGTTACAGAAGTCTGGCAAAGCACAAGTCAACTGCCTTTGATATGTGCTCAACTGATCCAGCTGAAGACCAAATCTCTTGCTGGCAATCACGTGCTGGAGTGCAAACTTGCCCTGATGGCTCCACGATTTTAACATCCCAAAACCACGCTGCACAGATTGTATCAGGCTCCCATCAGTTTGTTGCCTCTTTTTCTTTCATGAAAAATCATTGTGGGTTTCTGAAGGAGCCAGCCATGAGGAAATTGGTGATGCACTGGAAACTCTTGGCCAAACAGCTTAATATTGCTTATTGCAATGCATGCTGACTGCACTCCTCCCAGTCCCCTCACAACTCACCTCTGCCTACCGTGTGATTTATACAGGATGAGAAGAGCTCTGAAGGTGTGGGTGTTTTTTTCCCCAAATGACCCCCAAATGAGTTTCTATTCTCTCTCACCTGGCACAGGAACCGTGCCCTCGACAATGACCGCATTGCTGTAACTCACACACCCACGAAGAGGTACTTAAGGTGCACTATAAACATTTCTATCCTTGTGGAGCGTTTAAACTATCTTTTTATGGCCATACCCTGCCTGCATCAGGGATGCATTTCTTGACAAGTGCGATGGTTAATGATTCAGCAGATAGTAAAGTCATTTTTTTGTAAAAATTAATGCAGTAGAGGAGGGGAGGCATGCAGGGATTTAAGAAACGCACAGCTTAAATACATAAGTACAGTGCTTTGCAACATAAGATTTTTTACATTTACATATCCCCAAAACACTGCCCGAAATAGTGAGATCTTAATGGTGTGAAAGCAAAAATGAGAGCGATGTGTGGGCACACACAAGGTATTCCATGCACCTCTTTTAATTCCGGTGTGGTGCTTATAGAATAGATCACTGAGATGTGAAAAACACCACGCCATATAGTAGTGCATCTGTTTTCTCACCAGTTATTTCAACATTAATCACAGAATCACAGAATGGTTTGGGTTGGAAGGGACCTTAAAAACCATCTTGTTCCAACACCCCTGCTGGAGGCAGGGAGGTGTGCTGTTGGACCACCAGTCCTGGCCTGGAACATTTCCAGGTGTAGGGATGAAGAGGAGATATTCACCAGACTGGCAAGACCTATAAACACATGGATACTGACCTAGCAGTGACTGCCTTGTTGGGACACATCTCACTATGGCTCAGCATCCAGAGGGCGGGCCATGAAAAACAAGGGAACAGGGAGCAGACGCTGCTGGCGAGCAGGGCATGGAAACAGCGCAGAGTGGAGCTGAGCGCTGGGACCAGCAGCGCCAAGGCTGGGGACCGGCGGGAGGCTGCGCCCCAGGCAGACCGCGCTGGCCCGGGCACATGAATGTGAACGTGGCAGGGTGACAAGGGCGGCCGGGAGTGGCTGGGAATGGCCCGGGAATGGCCGGGAATGGCCGGGAATGCGGCGCAGGCACGCGGCGGCCGCGGGCGGCAGCGCTCAGCCCCGCCAGCGGGGGGCGCCCTGGCGGCGGGACTGCGCCGCCGCCCGCCATGGCGGCCGAGGGGAAGGTGACGGGGCAGAGCCAGGAGCAGTTCCTGCTGCTGGCCAAGGCGGCCCGCGGCGCCGCGCTCGCCAGCCTGATCCACCAGGTGCTGGAGGCCCCGGGCATCTACGTGTTCGGGGAGCTGCTGGACATGCCCGCCGTGCGCGAGGTGAGAGCCGCCCGGGCCTGCCCGCGGCCCCGCCCGGGCCTGCCCGCGGCCCCGCGGCGCCGCCTGACCCCGTGTCCCCGCAGCTGGCCGACGGCGAGTTCTCGCCCGTGTTCCGCCTCCTCACCATCTTCGCCTACGGCACCTACGCGGACTACCTGGGTGAGCCCCGGGGCCGGGATCCGCGCCCAGGGCCTCCCCGAGCAGCCGGGGCTGGGCCCCCAGAACGCGCCCGGCTGCGCTTTGGGCCCCGGACCAGCGGGGAGATCAGCGCTGCCATTGCCACCTGCCAAGGAGCAGCCTGACAGAGACGTTTCTGAGGGGCCAGGGAGGGAATTAGCTATCCATTGGGATGTGCAGAGCCGCATAAATAACCGTGGGACAGCTAGAAAGGCTGAGTTGAGGGTGGCAGGGAGAAAGGCTGCTCGGAAAAGGTCTTTTGAGCTGAGAATTGATGGGGGTGGCTTGGCAGGACGAAGCAGCACTTGGGGGATTGGTGTGCAGACGTTTTAAGAGACGGGTGTGGTGCACATGCTTCTGTGCAGCACTGGGAAACGAGGCATAAATTCTAATATCCCATTCTTTCCCCCGGTGACAGCTGAAGCAGCAAACCTCCCTCCCTTGACAGAGGCCCAGAAGAACAAACTGAGGCACCTGTCAGTCGTCACTCTGGCTGCCAAGATCAAGGTAGTGGCCCTGTTTTTCCTGAGCTCTCCTCCCGCCGGGATTGTCCATTGCTAGTCACCATCGTGTTTCCACAGTGCATCCCCTACTCGGTGCTGCTGGAGCAGCTGCAGCTGAAGAACGTCCGGCAGCTGGAGGACCTGGTGATTGAGGCTGTGTATGCAGATGTGCTGCGAGGGAGCTTGGATCAGCGCAACCAGCGCCTGGAGGTGGACTACAGCATTGGCAGGGACATCCGCAGGGAGGAGCTCAGCACCATCACCCGCACGTTGCAGGAGTGGTGAGGAGGAAGCCCCCAGTACTAACACCCCAAAAAAGGTTGCAGGAGTGGCCTGTGGCTTCCCTGGATCTTTGTGTGTCGCTGAGGGTGGGTGGTGTTGGGAGGTGACCTACTCCATCCCCTTCCCCATACTCCAACGGAAAGTAATTTTCCAAAAATAATTCCTCTGTTTGTGTCTAGAGGGGTGATGGGGATGCAGCAGCCTTTGTACAGCGCTGGCTGCTGCCAGGAGGCTTCCTGAGTGTTCTTAACCCAGCATGGCTGTGTTACCTGTCCTCCTCCCAGACAATAACATAATTCCCTGCGTTATTACATCAGTCTCTCGCCCCTGTACCTTCCCTGTCTGGCATAGCAGTGTTTTTGGAGCTGAAATCTGCTGCCTTTCACGTTTGTCTCTGCGCTGTGCCCATTCCCTGGCCTGTTCAGCTGTGGCTCTCCTCTCCAGGTGCCAGGGCTGCGAGGTTGTGCTGTCGGGCATCGAGGAGCAGGTCAGCCGGGCCAACCAGCACAAGGAGCAGCAGCTGGCCCTCAAGCAGCAGATCGAGAGCGAGGTGAGTAGGGGCAGAGGGAGCAGCCAAAGCCCCTCGCCTTAAAACAGCTACAGCCAGTACCCTGTGGTTGTTACAGTCTTTGCTGAAGTGAGGCATTGCCTTTTCCCTAGGCCAGACCCCCCAGGGACTTGTGCCTGAAGAAGAGTCCTAAATCAGCTTAATGCTCCTCTGCAGTGCAGGGGCCTGGACAGATGTTGGCTCTTGATGTGAGCTTGCAGCTCTTAGCTCCAGGGCTTCCTTTAGAAACATATTTTTAAAAAACTCAAAGTGCAACTAAAAAACCCATAGCCAAAAAATCCCAGTTTTGGGAAACCCATTAGCTGTTGCTGTGCTGCTGTTGCAGGTGGCCAACCTGAAGAAGACCATTAAAGTGACAACAGCAGCCGCTGCAGCAGCCACGTCCCAGGACCCAGAGCAGCACCTCACGGAGCTCAGGGAGCCAGCCCCTGGCACCAACCAGCGCCAGGCGAGCAAGAAAACCTCCAAAGCCAAAGGGTGAGCAGTGCAGGCACGGCGCTTTTCTCTGTGCACTTAGGAAGGAAGGGAGATGTGAACCTGAATGTCCACTTTGAACTTTTCTTTTTCTTTTTTTTCCCTGTGCCTGCAGGCTCCGGGGCAGCACGAAGATTTGGTCTAAATCAAACTAGTTGGATCTCCCTTCACAACTGGGAGGGTGAGAGGAAGAGATTCGGGGGATGGAGGGGTAGCAGGGGTCCCACGTGTGATGCTTCTGAGCTCTTCTCCCAAATCCATCTTGCCAACTAACTCTCCTGCATGTTTGTTCTTTTTCCTTTCTCCTTTACCGACCTTCCAGGCAGCGTCTCCCTCCTTTTCATCGCAGCATTTCACACTCTGAGCTTCAGGTTGTACGCGTTGCTGTTTCCCCAACCGCTCAAGCCCCCGTCGCCACGGCCACGTGTTTCTCTCTTTCTCTCTCCCTGTCTTTTGACAGGTCAATTTCAGGAGCCATAAAGGTGTGACAGTCACCTTGGCACCCCCAGGGCATCACAAAAGCTTGGAAAGAGGGTGCTGGTGTGCAGCAGTCGTTTTGGCTCTATGAGACCCCCCCGGGATACTTTGCTACAGGACACCGTCTTTGATTGTTTAATCTTTGTTTTGCTAGGTGGGAGGGTAGTTTTTGAAGGGATTCTTTTAAAAAGTATAAAAATATATTATAAATATATATAAAACAATAAAAATAGAGATCTATGGACATATCTATACAAACTGCGCTCCTGTGGGAGGCATCTCTTTGCCTTGTATGCCAGTTCTGGAGGTTCCAAAATAAGCTGTGATGTTAAGAGCCTTTGTCCCATTTTGGGGCGGAATATCCTCAAAATACTAGGTTCCCTTTTCAAAGGTAGTGCCACAGTATCTCTGTTGGGATGAGAGTCCATAAAACAGAAATTAATCATAAATCTTATTTAAAGTGTTTCTTGTGTGGTTGATTTTCCTCTAGACTCTTCAAAAGGTGATTTTCAGGTAGTCTCAGAGGAAGGTGCAGTGCCTGAGGAAAAAGTCTTTATTTGTGTCAGTACTGTGTGTCTTGTGATCCTGGACAGGATGGAAAGTGGTGCAGGGACTTGCCTGACAGGTGAAGGTAACAGAGTCAGTGCCCACATGTGTGAGTTCTCACAGGATAGATGCTGCACAAGCTGTTCTCGGGTGGGAAAAAAAAATCCAAATCAGTCAAAGTGACTCCTGTGAGATGCCCAGGAAAAAAACTAACTCGGGTTCTTCAAAGGATGCCTCCTGGAGGCTGGCTGGGAGCCGAGTCAGACGGGTGTCAGTGTCACACTGCCTTTCCACGACATGTAGCTGATGTAAATGTAAATTGACACCATGACTCCCACCCCCGCTTGGTTCTGCGCCTTGTGCCAAGACTAAAATTTGATTCCCTGAACCTGTGTTTCTGTGTGTGAGCAAACCATGGAAAGAAATAATCCAGTGAAGGAAAGCTGGGAGCTTTGTCTCTATGGGGCCTTGTTGGGTTCACTGGCTGGGGTGGGTTTGCTCCTGGGTCGGCTCCCTGTGCAGACAGGTGAGAACTGGAGCCGAGGCAATGTAGGTGTGAGCAGGCCTTGTGAAGGGGAGGGGGTCAGGCTGTGCCTGTTCCGGTGGTAGCAAGGTGCCATCTGAGATCTCAAACCCCACAAAACGCAGGTTTAATGCAATATCCCTGCTTTGCTAACGCCAGGCTGCTCTAATACAGCTCTGACTGTCAGCAGGAAAGCCCTGTCACCCGAACCCATGAACTCCTAAAACTTCCCAGCAGCTTTGTTCCTCTGTGTGTGGTCACAGGGCTGGGCGTACCAGCTGGCTCTGCTGGGGACAGGGACGTGCCAGCTCTCCTGGGATGATGGCTCTCACTGGCTGGGGTCTCCCAAGAGCTCAGGCAGCTCCACACCTTCCCCCCTTCTGTTGCACTTGGCACAGAAGTGCCAAGTAGGAGAGTTTTGGGATGAAGTTGTCCAGATGGGAGACACAAATCTGGCTGCTGGAGCATGAGTGGATAGCTGGGCCAGGATTGTGAATGCCCACCTAGAGAGACCTAACGAATTTGGGAGTCTCCCTGATGAATCCTGTTCTTCCTAAGTTGTTGGGAGGGATTGTGACAAAGCTTCCAGCTTTTGTTTGAATCACCTGAGCCTTCTTCCTTCTGCGTCACGTCACCTTCATCTGTCTGTGTCAGGGAGCAGAGGCGCTGCGCTCGCTGCATTTGCGATTGTCTGCGGAAACAATAACGCCCATGTGTATCCCGTCTTCAGCTCCCTGGGAAGGGCTGGTGTGGAGCCGAGGTGCCAGCAGGGGAGGAGATACCTGTCAAGCACCTGCCAAATGTCTGGCGCCTCACATCCTTTTGAAAAATTTGCTGCTTGCAAAGCCATTGGGGTGTGATGAGAAAGACTGAGGAGAAGGGGCTTGGGATGGAGCTGAGCAGCCGGACACAGCACGTGTCCTAACAGCCACTGGCTGACGTCCAGCGGGAGCTGGGCTGGAGCACTGGCACCTCCAGGGAGAGCTGAAGTTACCATACTGCAGGAGGATATTTGTGTCCCACGAGAACCTGCTGCTTGGGAGGAGCAGCTGTAACAGCTCTTTGCCCGAGTTGAGTGTCTCATCTCTTGTCTGTTGGGCTTTGCTATCTTTAACCAAACTCTGGCTATTAGACACAAAGGGTCTGTCTCAATGCCCTGAATCCACAGTTTAAATCCAGGCTGCAGATCCCAGGAGTGCAGCACTGAGAGTTCCAGGCTGGTTGTGTGTGATAGTGCTCGTGTGATGCCCTGTGCAGCAAAGGCCGGGCAGAGCAGTGCCTGAGCTCTGTGCCACGCACTGCCATCGACCTTGGGAGCACAAATTCCACACGTGGGTGACAGCAGCCAGCGTGTGGACCAGTGTGGGACTGGCTGGGCTCGCCACTCCAGCCCCAGGCTGTGCTGAAGGCCCAGACTTGGATCCTCACAGCTCAGTCACAGCTGGCACAATCCGGCTGTGTCCTTGTGCCACATCTTTGTTCCATGACAGCCAGCTCCTCGCCGTGTCCCAGGTCAGCCCATCCCTCTGGGAGCAGCGCTTGCCATAGATTGGCTTTGCTCCCCCTTCCCGTTTGCCTCTGTGTACCTCTCAAGGCTGGCTGTGTTATGGATTTTAGGAGAGCTTGGGATTAAACACAGCTCTGAAAGTCTTCCATTTTGTTTACTTTTCAAAGGGAGCACCTTTTAAGACCTCCATTAAGAAAAGGAAAGCTGGAGGTAGCACATAAAATTACTTCAGACCTTTGGTAGGACTGAAAAATAAATGAGAGGGTTGCAGTGCAGAATGAAAGTATTGCTGCAAATTGCCTTGCTGGATGGCAAACAGAGGGCAGGAGCATAGGTTTGCCTTTGCCCTTCACCTGAAAACCGTGGTTTTTATTTTTCTGCTCGCTTCAGCCGTGACTCTGAATTTCAGTTGGAGAAGATGTGAAGATTAATTAATTAGTTAACATTTATAAATCACTTTGAAGATGGCAAGAGTGAGGTAAGTACTGAGCATTATAAGTTTTCATTTTAAAATGTCTTTATGTTTTAACCCATTTTTGTCCAAAGAAAAGACCTGAGTACAGGAGAACAGAAATACCTGGACACATTAAGCCCTGAAAAGTTATCAGATTTAGGGGGCTGTAGAAGAGGGTACCAAGAAATGTCCATCCCAAAATGAGGAGCAGGAGATCTGCCATCCCCAGCACAGAAAGTCTGACAGCTCTTGAGCAGTGATTCATGGCAAATCCCTCTTTGGGTACCTACCTGGGGCTTTCACGGGTTCAGAAAAGGGAGGAGGTAGGAGAGGACCTGAACTGCTCCATCACTGATGTCCAGCTTTTGCCAGCCACCTGCAGCTGCCCTGTGGCAAGAGTAAACCAGGGACTGGGGTTAGTGATGGTAATTATTGCATTCTTGGGACGCAATTTCTTCTGGGGAGCTTGCTGCTCCTCTTCTTGAAGGTTGTGAGGGTGCTGGGCAGCTGCTGCAGTGCCCATCCGTACCTGGAGGGTGGGGAGAAGTGTCACAGCTGGACAGACACCCTGCAGGACTTCTCTAAGGTACTCCCCATCCTCCACTGCTCTGTGCCGAGGTACCTCAAAAGGAGTCAATATTTCATTTACTGGGGTTGCTGAGGCTGCCCTTGGCTCTGTTCTCCAAAGGAGACCTTTGGCAGGGTGGTTTGTTTCCTGCAGAATGATGGGCTGGTGTGCACCCCAGTGCTCTTACACATTACCAAGCCAGTGACAATGGCTGGGGGACACATCTCTGGACAGCAGGTGTCCTCAGGCCTGTCTGGGGAGAGCAGGGAGGATGGCAGCCCTGCCCCTGGCCAGCAGCAGGACATGTGCCACCACCTGCATCCTGAGAGCTCCCTCCCGGTGCCAGCTGAGGATGGTGCTGCAGAGGCCGTGGCCATGCCAGCCAGATTGCATCTGCTGGTCTGCAGGGTGGTCGTGCATCGTGTGGTCCTCCAGAGCCCCGTGCAGGGATGCCTTGGCTGAGTGCTGCTCTGCAGGCCCTCTGTGCCAGGTGGGTGCTGCAGTCTGTAGGGAGAGCTGGCACAGATGATCTGTGTGTGTCCCTCTGCAAAGACCCCCCTAACAGCAGCCTCTGAGGGCTGTGCCTGCTGCTTGCCACAGCCGGCTCATCCTTCCTGGGATGTGGCCCTGCCTCTGCAGGATTCTGATGCAGAGCAGGGTAGAGTAGTCAGAAGAATCTCACAGTTCATGTTGGCTGCTGCAAATGTGTCTCTCAGATCTCTGACATCCTTCTTGTCTCCTTTGTATGCCCTGGAATAGCTGCTCATTTTCCTTCTGTGACCCCTTTCCCTTTTTGCCATCCTCTCCATGGGAGTCTGTCTGTGTTCCCACCTGCAGGGCTCTTCTTTCCTCATCTCTTTTCCTAGTACTAGTCACTGCTTAGCTGAAATACTCATAAAAACCACCTGTTTTATCTGCTGGTTCCACAGACACCCCATCTTTTGGGTGCTTTTCTCTCATCTTCTGCAGTTTTCCAGGAGCATCCCTCTTGATCCAGTGTGGAACTAGGCTGGACTATTGTCTGCCTCCTCTGCTGGTGGCAGGCTCTTCTCCTGCCAAGGAAAGGAGTTCATTTGCAAAAATTCTTTGTGCAGTGTGCAATTATATTCCTGTTGTGATGAATTCAATAGGCAGCAAAATGTCAGCTGGATTTGAGAGCTGTGACCCTTTTACAGTAGCAAGAATGTTCAGAATTCCTGTAGCACTTTGTGCACATGTTAAAAACTGCCCTGCACCCTCCTGTTCTGAGGACAAGTAAAGGCCCAGCCCCTTCATATCAGGAGAAAATGTTTCTGGGGAGGCTTTGGCTGTATCTGCCTCTGAAGCATTTAGCACTGTTTCCAGGATGTGGGAATATGGATGATCTCTTTGTTGGGAGCAAAAGCAGGGAGGCTCCTGGTGACCAAGTGTGATATCTCACCACTATGGATGGTCTCACAATCCCTTGCAAAAGCTTCTCAGGTGCCAACCCCAAACTGGTTAATTTTCTTGTCCCCACTAGTCCCCTTGGCAGGCTGCCCCAGAACCCAACTGCTGTAGTGGTTAAAGTTTTTTAATTTCCAGCTTAAATGAATTCACAGCTAGTTGATATTCTCTTGTGCCTGTGCCAGCCTGGCTCTAGCTGAAGCTGTTCTTCCTCCCTGGTGTTTATTTCCCTTGAGTACAGACTTCACTTTGCTTAACTAACCAAATCAGCCCCCTTGTGCACCGTGAGCTCTCCTTACTCTCTTACTTGCTCTTCAAATAGAGTGCAAAAGTGCTCTCCTTCCTGCACTTCAAATTAGGCTTCCTTGGCTAGAAACGAGCACAGTTCTCTTCCACAGGTGAAGTCTGATCAGCATCTCTCACAGGCACAGAAACACAACCTATAGCTACCAGAAATGCCTCCTGGACTGCATGTCTTCTCCTCTGGTGATCCAGAGTATTTCCCTTTTTTCTGATAGTTATAATCAAGGAAGCTCCAGTGTACAGCCAAAATCTTGATTTTAGGCCCTATGCACCTTTTCCCTTTCACTTTGTGCTACAAACTTTAGCCCTTTTGCTCTTACTGGCACATTCAAGGCCACCTATGTCCTCCTGTGTGATACCCTCATCCAATTTGGCAATGTTGCTGGGTTTTATTTATTTACCCAAGCATTTATTCTTTTGCAATCTTTGTTCTCCTTTTCTGTCATTAGTAAGGGATGGAAATGGTGAGGCTAGTGTCTAATCTTCCAGCTTACCTCTGGACATTACATCACCAGCAGTTGGAGATAGGTAGTGTCTGTTCTATTTCCCTTCCTTTTATTACCTTTTTCCCCCATGCTAAGTTTGTATTAAGTGCCCTCAGGATTTAAAAAGCCATCCAGATGTGAGGAGATGGTGAAAGTAATAATAACCAAAGTGAAGTTTCCCCATGGAAACAGTTTTTGAAGTGTTGTCTTTAAAAAGGAAAATTCCCAGGAGGGAAAAAAAATCCCAGTTACATTTAAGACAGGGCTGAAATATGAAATCAAGTCCATTTTTTAGAGTGTTATGGAAAGTAAAAAAATACTGCAAATCAAACAAATCAGTTTTAAGTTATACACTGGATTGAGGTCTATTTTAAATCCTTTTGTTCTCCAGCACTGGAGCCTGTAGGATTTTACATTCCAGCCCCATGGCAGTGCCTGTTTGTATCCTGAGCAAACCATTGTGCCCAGAGGGAGCTCTGTTTCCTGCAGCTCTTTGTGGTCCCACCTGCTTTGAAGCCCTTGTCAAGTCAAAAGGTCTCTTCTTGCCCTTCCCACCTTTCCCTTCAGTCTAAGCCCTGTGCCAGTCTGTTTCCCTCTCCTGCTCACAGATTTTTGAAGCCCAAAGGGACTGGTATAATCACATTGCTTGGCTTCTCAAGTGGCCAAGAACTCCCTTGCCCACTGCCCAAACTCTTTTTGGGCCTCCCCATGGGCTTTGGAGTAGGGGAGCTGGGAGACGGAGGTGTGTGCTCTACTGCTCTCACAAGGTCTGCCTTCACTCCCAGCTCCATGGTGAGGTCGCTGCAGGTTTTCTGCTGGGCTGAAGAGCCCTCTGCTGTCAGAAGCCTTGTTCCCGTTCAGGTGACGCCAGCCTGTGCTCCAGTGGAGTGAACTCAGACACAGGAGTTCAGTTCACGTTAACCTGTAGTGCTGGGCAGTGTTTCCAGGCTCCAAGCCATCCTTGTTTCACCCTTCTTGAGTCTTCTTTGGTTCCTTTTTAGTGTCCAATACCCAGATTTCCCACAACTGGTTCACTACTCTGATATACCAAATCGATCAGAGGGATGGAGCACCTCTCCTACAATGAAAAGCTGAGAAAATGAAAGAGAATTTGGATTGCTCAGTCTGGAGAAGAGAAGGTTTTGGGGTGACCTAATTGCAGCCTTCCAGTACCTAAAGGGAGCCTACAAGAAAGATGGAGAAAGACTATTTACAAGAGCATGTAGTGACAGGAGAAGGGGGATGGCTTCAGACTGAAAGAGAGCATGTTTGTGCTGGGTGTTAGGATGAAATCCTTTACTGTGACGACGGTGAGGCGCTGGCACAGGTTGCCCAGAGAAGCTGTGGGTGCCCCATCCCTGGCAATGTTCAAGGCCAGGTTGGATGGAGCTCTGAGGCACCTGGTCTAGAGGAAGGTGTCCCTGCCCATGGCAGGAGGCTGGAACTGGATGATATTCAAGGTCCCCTCCAACCCAAACCATTCTGTGATTCTTCAAAGTGGAGAATTTTTACCTCTGCTCTGGGTGAACACAGGCTAATGCATCCCAGTGTAACCCATCTGCACAGAGGAAGAATTATGCAAGTACCATTAATTTCCTTGGTTGTCTTCCAATCCTAATTCCTTTTGGAGCTCCCCATCTTGAAAGAGCACAGACTATGTTTATGTCCCTGGGTGAATGTCTTTTCTGCATTCAGTGCAGCCAAAAATACCTACTGTTTATAAATAAACACACCAATAGTTACTGACTGTTCAGTACATCTCATCTTTTTCCAACATTTATTACTTTCATTGTTCTTTGGATCCTCTGAAAGCTTCATCAGCACTGGTTTAATACCTTCTTTCAGATCATTAATCAAGTTACTAATGAGCATTAGTTTCAAACAACATCCTACTGGAAATAATTTCATATTCTATAGTCTCTTTTCCCCCTCATTACTTGAAATCTATCAGTGAACTAAAATTTATAATATTGGCCTTTTTGTTGTTTTAGTAATTACTAACTTGTTTTACTTCAGAACAGAGTCTTGTGTGGCCAGATAAAATGCCTCGTGCTGTTGCAACCTCTGACTCTGGGTTGACCCAACCCATAATTTAATCAGAAATTATCACAGTTGTTGGACAGGAACAATTTTGAGAAGTGAGATCACGTATTATAAACACTGCGACATAAATGCTTATTTTTCAATTTAATGCATTTTGCATCTCTTATCTTGATATAATGGCAGTTTGCCTGGTTTACAGGTGTGGATATAATCTATTTTTTATTTAGAAGTATTGACACCAGGTTAACTTTCCCAGACTTCTTTCTCCCCACTATTCTACAATTCCCCCAGTATTCTACAATTCCCCCAGTATTTTACAGTACCTCTAAGTGAAAAATGCACAGACCTTCAGGGCTACCCACAAAAACATGTAAGGACAAAGTTCCTTCTAGCCCTCATGGGTTTTATTTTCAAGATATATTTTCAATTATGGAAAACTGAATATACAACAAACAAAACCACCAAAGTTTGTGGTTTATTTGTGTGTAGCTAGTGCATTCTCATCCAAGGTCATACTATCCATCTTCCTACTAGTGTTTCCAGCCTATCTTCACCCCATTCTACCACCTCCCCTTCCCTCTGCCTCTTTAAAGCCTGTCAGGCCCCTCTGTCTCACTTCAGGTGTCCTACTTGCTCCTTAGGAAGGCTCCTTAGGAAGATCCAGTAGTACCAATGAACTGCCTGGATTTGACACTTCAATTCATCCAATTTGAAGGTGACAGCTATGGGAGAAGGAGCACGAAGGGATTTTGTTTCCTTTGGACTGATAAGGATGACTTGGAACCACTGAAATAAATAGTGTTTGATTTCATGTTGAGAACATGCAGCCTTCTCTTTCTCCATCTTGCTGGCACAGCTGTCAGAGACATTTCAGAAATGGCAGGGTCTCATCCCAGCCTTTCCAGTGCCCTGATACAGGAGATCGATTGCTTTTAAGGGCAAAACATTTCACTTGAAACTGTAACTCATAGGAAACAATGAACACAGGTGTGTTCCCTTCTTTGGAGAAAACCCTCCTGCCTTCTGAAGCCAGAAGTGCATGTACCATGGCAGCCTGGGCTCACCCTCTCAATAAACTTCCCCTTCTTCTTGGTTGGGGATCTCCAAAACTCTCCCCTGGGCTCCTGCCTTAACACAAAGTTCTAAGACCCCAGGTAAGGCGAGTTCCCTTTGGAGAAAGCCCTCCTGCTTTCTGAAGCCAGAAGTGCGTGTACCATGGCAGCCTGGGACGGGCAAAGGGCTCACCCTCTCAATAAACTTCCCCTGCTTCCTTTAGAGTTTGGGATCTCCAAAACTCTCCCCTGGGCTCCTGCCTTAACACAAAGTTCTCCTCTCACTGAAACTCTTTTCACCGAAGCTCTTTCCCATATTCCTTGCTGCCCCTGGAGAAGGCTGAAACCTTGGTTTGCACGGAGCGTGCAGCAGCTAGCAAGGCTCAGGCAGCCAGGTAAATCACCCTCCCACTGCCGAGTCCTCCCACTGCAAGGCTCCTACCTAAATCTGTAATCAGGACAGCACCCAACAGGGAGCAAAGGCTGAATCCAGATAAAAGGATTTGGGATTAGATCAAGATTAGGAAATCCATGCCCAAAGAGGAATGGATCCTCACGATCAAAGGTCAATGTTAATCCCCACCACGACCATGGTCACCTTCCTGTTTGTTGTAGACAGGTAGAAGAATTATAAAAGAAAGACCTCATAAAATCAGGCCTGCTCTGTTAAATTAATAGCTAGCCTGTCATTTCTTCTAAGTGCAGCTAAGTAATTTGCAAGTTCCCATGTGAAAACAATCTTGGCATGAGAGCTCGTTAGCACAACAACTTATTCTTGAGTGAAAAACAACTAGCACCTACATAAACAACAAGATTTGTCTCATGAGAATCAGTAGAAAAAATATGTAAACTAACTATAAATACAGAAGTTTGATAGACATGCAAAATACCATGTACTGACCAATGAACTAAGTGTGAATGTATTGTCCACCAGTAAGATCTGACACAGTGCCTTCTGATAATCCTATAAAATATGACCTATACAATAAAGACTTAGCTTTTCTGCATGAAGAAACGGAGTCCTGTCTGCTTATTAATGCAACACCTGTTCTCCATCTCAGACTTCTCCTCAAAACCTGGCCAGGACCTGGCAGCTGGTTACTGCCACCATCTCCGTGCTGTGAGCACCTTCCTGAGCTCAGCTGGCTCTCCACTGGATCAAAGCACCAGGTGCCACATCTCACAGTGGCTCAAGGCTGCCAGAGGTGAGGGCTGCTGCTGTTGCAGTCCCTTCTTTTGGTCTGGAAACCCCAGGATGACTTCCACAAAACCTCTCCCAAGCCTGCTTTGTTCTGTGTAGCTCCTCCTTCAGCCTTGCTCTCTTCAGGGCTTGCCTTGGCTATGACACCTCAAAAGTCACTCCACTGCCAGGGACAGCAGGCTGCTGTCTTTGAAGTCCCTTCCAAACCAAACTCTTCTATGACTCCTGCTGGGGTTTGCCATGGGACAAAACGGCATGGGGAAGTGGGCTCCAGCCACGGCTCTGTTCTGCACTTCCTTGAAGGGTGGAACACTGCAAACTCTGCCCTGAGCTTCCAGAGGGTGGATGCTGCATCCTTGTCTCAGGGCAGGACAGTCAGTCCCCAGCAAGGCATGTCTCTGTTAGTGCCCACATGTACAACAGAGGGATACACCACATCCCAGCACGCCACCTCCAAGTGTAAGCCATGAATTGATTTCCTGCCTTCTGTTCCAAATAAACTGATGAAAAGGTTTGTGTAAGAGTGTGTGCCAGAGCACAAAACTGGCCAAGAACCCAGGAGATCTTCCCTGGTCCTGTATTCCTAATGCCTCTCAATTTTCACCTAATCCCAGAGATGCTAAGGAAAGGTCATTCATAACGTCAGCCACGGTTGCAGTGATATGACAGGAAAATAATGGAAATATTCCCTGTCTGTGCAGGAACCCCAGAGGCCCAATTCAGGGCTGCACAGCTGACCAAGAAGGATCAACCAATTTCCCTTCAGTGCACAGCAAAACTACAGCAATTAGAGGGCATTTTTTGCAAATGGTGAGTTCTTGGGTCTTCTTTCACAATCTCCATGTTGAGCATCATCTCACCCTGTGACTACATGGGAAGGCTGTTAGGCTATCTTCTGTAAGAAAACAAAGCCTGAGAATTTCACACCAAGTTTCTCCTCAGCAATTTTCCAAGGATGTGAAAGAGGTAATTGTGCCACAGCAGGCACAATTAGGTCAGCTGAAGGCAAAGACTGATCCACCAACTCTTTACAGTTTGTTTCTTTATTCAGTAAACATCTAGTTACAAGTTTCACAAATTAAAAAAGTAGGGGAGCTGACTGAAGAGGGGTCAGGGGGCCCACAGGCTGATCCAGCTTTTGTTCTGCTCCTCCCTTCTCCAACATACACATCCTTCTGCTTCTCCACAGATGCACCAGGGAGCAGCAGGGGAATCAAAGCCTCTGTCCCAGTCAGGGGACTGACAGGGGGGTCTAGCAAATTCCCTCATATTCCTTTCACAGGGGACTAAACACAAACTTCAGAACCAGCCCAACCCAGCACAGAAAGAGTGGAAAGGATGGAAGAGGCAAGGTGGCAGCTCCTCATGCCCAGCACTACTGGCAGAAAGAACAGAGCCAAAGGGAGAGCAGAGAGGGAATGGGCAATTAATGTGTTCCTTGCACATCAGTGAGATTCCCCATGTCCCACTGCAGCACCCAAATGGGGTGAAATAGAGCAATGCAGAAGATTAGTTGCTTTGTTTTAATCCTTAAGTGGGAGGGAGGTTAATACTAAATTTGAGAAGGGTCCAAGTGGTGCTTTGAAGGGGCTTCCGAGTTTCACTGTCTGTACCTGGGAGGAAAGGAAACAGAAGACATAAAAAGAGTAAGTGGTGCTTAGAAAGAAGACGGATAAAGACAAGTTTAAACCAAATGTCTAGACATCAAAAAAAGGGGAAAATGTCCCTTTTGAAGCACTAGATCACATCCTGGTGAGCCCTATCCAAAGCACAGGAGAGCAGACACCAGCACTTACTTATATTTCAAACTGGATAGACAGCAAATGGTCTCTAAGTTCCACACAATGACAATATAAACACTCCACAGACTGCAATCCTACATCACATCATACTATTTCAGCCATCAGTTAAGGCTGACACCACAGGTCTTTTGTTCACGACAAAGCCAACTTAAACAGCTTCCATCTTCGGCTTCAGCACAGCATCTTCTCCAAATTCACACCTTCCCCTGCCCTCTCAAAGCAGGAAAATCCCTTTGCAACCGAAACTTCAAAATAACATAAGATTAGCGCAAAGAACAGATAACCCTATGGCTAAGAGGCAACCACCGAGCGGAAGACACGGAAGGAACTTGTTAAGACTCACAAGAGCGCGTAGGTAGGTTTGGGGGTGGCCACGCTGCACCCCCCACAAGGTCTGCTCCCAGTTCACCAGTCGTAGCGGCGGGACTGTCTGGAGGGAGAATCCTCAGGGCCCTGGATGGCGAGGCGAGTCCCTTCGGCCCGCCGGCCTGCGCTGCCCTCGTGGCGCCGGAACTCCAGGCCCCGCTGCGGCCGGAACCGGGACGTCTCTCGCCGCCACTCGTCGTCAAAGGCGGCGGCGTCACCTGCGCGGGGAGACCGCCAGCTCACGCGGGGAAGCAGCACCCGGCTGGGCTGGGAGGAGGACACGGGCACTCTACTCACTTTCGTCCATGTTGATGTAGTCCTGCCTCTCCTCCTGGTCGCCCGTGCGGTGGTTCCGGGAGCGCTGCATGATGTGGGCCCTCTCCCTGATGTGGTGCCCGATCGACATCTGTTCCAAGCCGCTGTCCGAGTCCCTGACGGTCCGTCTTGTCTCGCGGATCTGGGGGCAGATTCCCACGTGGAATCAACATTTTCATTCCTTCTCCCAGCCCCCTAAGGCACCCTGATTCCTGCCTCCAGTATTTCGGCCGATTTGCACTGCCACCACTCCCAGGATGTCAGACGCAACATTAGGAACAGGGAAGAATGGATTCCCCACTGCCAGCTCTTCCCATTTCCTCCCAGGGGCCCTTGGCACGGTTCAGTGAGTCACCAGAGCACAATGTGCTCCTCGAACTGCAGCTGGCCGCGGAGCCAAAGTGCTGTAGGTGGCCACCCACAAAGCCACCAAACGAAGCCCACCCTGTCCCAGCAAAGCCAGCAGCCTCCCCCTTACCCCGCCAGGTGCTGAACGCATCTCTGAGGTCTCCTGATAGACCTTGGGCCCATCACCCAGGTTGGAGTAAGAGATGACAGTTGAGGAGGTAAACGTCTGGCAGTTAGCACCACTTGTCATATGTTCCTGCAAGAAGGAATGGGGAATGGTGGAAAGAAGGGATGGGAGGGAAGAAGAGATGGCATTTAATTCCCTCTCTGCGATGAAGTAAGAAGTTACAATAGGATGAATATAATCCCCATGGGTCCCTTTTTCTGGAGAACACACCTTCCTGTTAAATTAATACTTATTTCTTGCTAAACATGTCCACCCACACACTTCCTTCCTCACCCCTCTCCTCTCCCTGCACTCAGGAACAAGCTCTGTCACTGACTCCCAGTGACGAAGCAAAGCTTACAGCTCTGCCACCTTGGCAGGTGTGCCTCAGTCCATCCCAAGCAGCACAGTAAGGTAAGAGACATCAGAGGGGTGGCAGAAGCACCCTCAGCACTCCCCTCCATACAGAACAGTTCATGAAGGGTTCTTACCATGTTTCCAATCATGTCGTTCATCATCCCAAACATATCCATAAAGCCACCTGCCTGATAAAAAGGAAAAGAGAACACAAGAGTAGTCAGTCTGGGAAGAGGCATGAGGAAAGAACAACAAACTATGTGCAAAAAGCCTGCTGCCTAAGAAGAAGAACCTTGATTTTTTTTTTTCATGTTCTTTCAGTGTGCAGAAAAAAAAAACAACAAAAAACCACCAGAATTTGGGGTTGCTGTTCTCTCCATTCTCTCAGGTTGCATTGCCCAATGCTCTGGCAAAGGTTATTCTTTTAGTTTGTATCCAACTGCTGATGCATTGGGGTTTGTGAGCTTGGGGACTCAGCAAAGTAAGAAGAAATCTCAGCAGATGCACTAAGAGTGGTCTTAAGAAAATTTCCACTGATTGTTTTCTTTCTAGCATAACAACAAATTTGCTTATTTTCCCCTACAAACACCTGCCTTTTCCATCCTGTAAACCTGAATGCTGCAGTAACACCCTGGGCCAGCAGGTCTCACAGGTTAATTGTGCAATATGTAAACAAAATTACAATGTCAGTTCAAAATTGCTGATTTCTTTTTTTTTTGTTTCCTCGAGTAGCCTCTTGTTCTCGTTTCCAGCAGAGCAGTACTCACACACAATGTTATTATGCTTTGAAGTCTATGTGTTTGTAGTCTTATTAATCCTCCTCTGAGCTACAAAAATTCCAGGACGCTGGAGTCTCTTTCATTGAGGCAATTCTGCAGAGCAAGGCAGCTAAAGCTGCTGGATCTGGAATAACCTATTTCCACTGTGTCACTTCGGTGGAAGACGGAGATCAGCACGCTCCGAGCGCGGTGTTCTCACGTACACACAGCCATTCCCATCCCAGCCCTGTTTAGTGACTATTCTGCTGGCTTTCCAGCCGCCACCACCAGCAAAGGAGGTGCAGTAATCCCCTCTGCCTACTGATGGCCAAGTCCTTTCCTGGCGTCCTCACAGCTCCTCCATTACCTCCACATCTGCAGCTTCTTTTCAGACAGATGAGGTTATTAAGGGACTACCTGCTCTTCCCAGATATTAACTGTCCCAATTCCCATGAAATATTGTGCTATAACAGCTTTATGACTTTTCTCCGGTCAGGGTGCAAATACAACTTCCCCATATACAGAGAGTTAGACTCTCTCTTCAAAAACAGCTCACGGACAGGATTAAAACATTAGAGGGGAAACAAGGTAAAGGCCTGAAGTCATAAAACAACTCAATGAGAGGTCCAGGAGAAACCAGATGCTTCCAGTTTCAGTTCAATACCTTCTTCCCTATTCCATTTACTATAAATCTCAAGCTCATCCTGGTCTCTGCAGACATTCCCATCCTCCCTACCTGGTAGGATAGCTGGTCAGGCTCACAGATGGCTACATTTTAGCACCGGTTGCACACAGTGCTGATGAATCTCAGTATGGAGCCACTACTTGGAAAGCCTCTAATCTGACCCAGAAAAACAGAAAACTTACCATGCCGAGCATCCCAAAGGGTGAAACAGCTCCTGCCTGCCAGGAGAACAGAAAAACAGAACAGAGAATGACTTTGCAACAGCCAAACACTAGATCCTCATCAGAACACACTAATCCTTCTCAGAAACAGAACTGGGAACACTCAGGCTTTACAAACAGATCAAGTGCCCCACAGATTGCCCTGGGGGTTCAACCCATTAGCACCCCTAACAAACCAGACGTGTGGTGATGCTCCTAAATTTCTCCCCATTATATGAACTCACATCCTTGAACGAGAAACAACATGTATTTAGTATTTATTCCCTTCCTCCCATCCAACCTAGAGTTGCATTCAAGACCTTAATACAGGCGGAATACAGAGAAGGACCAGAGCACCACTGCCTGAGAGATTCACTCCGCACCCACCCCCTGCGTGGAGGAGAGGGGGGAGCCCAACCCGGGAAGGGTGGGAGACAGACACTGCCAGAGCAGTTTGGGAAACTGCGGCCCGTGCCCAGCCCTGTGTTACCTGCATCCTGCGGGCAGCCTGGCGAGCCCCAGGGGCGCTCCCGTCCGTGATGCCAAGGAGCGGCCCGAACCCGAAACTCCCCGACAGCATGCGGTTCATGTGCTGCCGGTGGATGGCAAAGGGATCCCTTTGGAGAGGGGCAGAGAACAACGGTGAGGACAAAGCCCCGTGTAATCCGCTCCTGCCAGCTCGGTGTTATTCTTACACACCTGTACACTTAATGGCACCGGAGAGCAGGAGATCCTACTTATCGTCCTCCCACCCCTCCATGTGCACAGACACAAACAGTGAAATGCAAGACTGGAACCTCCAGAATGGACTGCATGGCCTGACACCCCTCTGCTCCCCAGGGGTTGAGACCACAGACAGCTTTTCCAGATTTGAGGGAGAAAGGGGACAATAACTGGGAGCCCTAACTGGTTATCCCAACTTTTGCAGCCTCCACTTTGAGGGCTGCATGTACTCACACAGGTTGGTGAAGCAAGAGGAGGAAAATGAGGGTAAGGATAAAGAGTCACAGAATTGGGTGGCCACAATTAGAAACTTCTGGGAAATACCATAGCTTTTTTCCCCCCTAACTGGATTTCCCAACTTTTGCAGCCTCCACTTTTGAGGGCTGCATGCACTCACATAGGTTGGTGAAGCAAGAGGAGGAAAAGGAGGGTAAGGATAAAGAGTCACACAATTGGGTGGCCACAATTAGAAACTTCTGGGAAATACCATAGCTTTTTTCCTGCACATCTTGTAGCCTGCAATTATCCCTCTTGAGCTTTAATGACCTCCACAGCACAGATTATTCCTGAGATGACAGAAGTACCCACTACTTAAATACTTAAAACTAATACTTTTCTGTCTCTACTGGAAATGCTTCCCATAATAAAAGCTAGACTCATACCTGCCATGTTAATGAGAACACACAGTCATTCAGTGACTAACTGGGACATCAAGGTCTCCTCTCCTGCTAATTTGCTCACAGCTGATAAAATTCTGGCTTACTATTGATTTCCTAAGTAAAAGATTGACTATTCTTCTACATACATAAATTTCACCAAATTTCTAGTAGTGTCTTGTTTAACATAATCAAATTCTTCCTGTATTACAGTCTATTCCTTATCCACTTTGCAAAGGCTGCCAACTTAGTGTCACTGCCAAAATTTATCAATAGCATCCAATTTCTGTACTGAGGACGGAAACAAAAACATTCAGTCAAAGGAGTCCCAGGAAGAGTTCTTGGGACCTTTGTTAGATTTCAATACTCGTGTTTCAAAACTACTCGTTGTTTTCTCTTTACTTTGTTCCTCACAACTTGACAACTGCTTCAGCAGCCTTCTCCAGCTCCATTAATGACTTCCTGTGCAGAACAGCAACAAACACTGGACAGAGCAGCAGATTTTATCTACCTCAACTGCAACCCTACTTTGCATAATGAAAAAAAAAACCAAAAAACCTCGCGCAAAGAAAAAAGATTAGTTATTATGCCAGCCCTCTCTTCCTCTCAAGACAGCTGCGATGCCTTTTGGCCTACTTTATATCACGCTTTCCTCCAAGACCACGCTCCACTATCGCGGAAACGAGACCGACGCGAGCCCTGTGAGCGGCCGCGCTGTCCCTCGGGAGGGTGTCCGTGTGTGCTGTCCGTGTGTGCTGTCCCTCCGGAGGCTGTCCGTGTGTCCTGTCCCTCCGCAGGCTGTCCGTGTGTGCTGTCCCTCCGCAGGGTGTCGGTCCGTGTGTGCCCCAGCCAGCCGCGCTGCCGCGGCGCTCCGGGCCCGCCCGGCTCTGCCCGCCCGGCGGGGCGCGGGGGCAGCGCACACTTCCCCGGGGACGCTCCGTGCCGCAGCCCTCCCTCCCTCCCTCCCCGGCTCCCCTGCCCGCAGGATGCCCAGCCCGACTCACATGGCAAACATGGGGTCCTCCGGCTCGCCATCCCTCATCAGCCGGAACATGCTTCGCTCGCTCGGGGGCGGCCTCTGCGGAGGGGAGAGGGCGGTCAGCGCAGCCGGGGCTGAGGGCGGGGAGGGGCGGAGCGGAGCGGCGGAACCGGCCCCCCCGCCCC